CTCAACAGCATGAGTAAGGACATCAACACCATGAGTAAAGACAAAGAAATGTTGCAAATCAACCAACTGGAAATTAAAAACCACCAAGAGCCCTGACAGGTTTGGCTCAGCTGTCAAAGCATCGGCCTGCGGTCCAGAGAGACCCGGGTTCAGTTCCCACTAAGGGCATGTACCATGGTTGCAGTTTGTTCCCAGTCCGGGTTGGGTCGTGTAGGAGGCAGCCACTCGATGTGTCCCTTTCACATCAATGTTTCTCTTTCTTTCTCTCTCTCCCTCTCTATCCGTCCTACTCCTGTCTGAACAAAAAAATGGAAAAATGTCCCTGGGTGAGGATAAAAAAAAAAAAAAAATCCAGCATCCATTTCTGATAAAAACGCTCAGCAATGTGAGGATAGAGGGATCATATCTCGACATAATAAAGGCCATATATGAAAGACCTACAGCCAGCATCATACTCAATGGGCAGAAATTAAAAGCATTTCCCTTAAGAACAGGAACAAGACAGGGATGCCCACTTTCACCATTCTTATTTAACATAGTACTGGAAGTCTTAGCCACAGCAATCAGACATGAAGTAAAAATAAAAGGGATCCAAATTGGAAAGGAGGAAGTGAAACTGTCATTATTCGCAGATGACATGATATTGTACATAGAAAACCCTAAAGACTCCATCAAAAATCTACTAGACTTAATAAATCAATTTGGCAAAACACAGGAAAAAATGAACACATGGGACTACATCAAACTAAAAAGCTTCTGCACAGCAAAAGAAACGACCATCAAAATGGAAAGGCAAAACACTGTATGGGAGAGCATCACTGCCAATGATACATCAGATAAGGGGTTAATTTCCAAAATATATAGAGTGCTTATACAACTCAACAAAAGGAAGACAAAGAACCCAATTAAAATATGGGCAGAGGAGCTGAATAGACACCTCTCCAAACAGGACATACAAATGGCCAAGAGACATATGAAGAAATGCTCAACATCACTAATCATCAGAGAGATGCAAATTAAAACAACCATGAGGCCAGTTTGGCTCAGCGGTTGGAGCGTCGGCCTGCGGTACAGAGAGACCCGGGTTCGGTTCCCGCTGAGGGCATGTACCTCGGTTGCAGTTTGTCCCCGGTCCTGGTTGGTCGTGCGGGTGGCAGCCACTCGATGTGTCCCTTCACATCGATATTTCTCTCTCTCTCTCTCCCTCTCTCCCCCTCCCGCTCTATCTGAACAAAAAAATGGAAAAATGTCCTCGGGTGAGGATTAAAAAAAAAACACACACAAAAAAAAACCAACCATGAGGTATCACCTCACACCTGTCAGAATGGCTGCTGTCAACAAATCATCAAACAACAAGTGTTGGCGAGGGTGTGGAGAAAAGGGGACTCTAGTACACTGCTGGTGGGAATGCAGAGTGGTGCAGCCACTATGGAAAACAATATGGTGTTACCTCAAAAAATTAAAAATTGAACTTCTATTTGACCCAGTGATCCCACTTCTAGGAATATATCCTAAGAACCCTGAAATACCAATCAGAAAGACTCTATGTACCCCCATGTTCATAGCAGCACAATGTACAATAGCTAAGATCTGGAAACAGCCCAAGTGTCCATCAGTAGACGAATGGATAAAAAAGCAGTGGTACATATACATAATGGAGTACTATGCAGCTGTAAGAAAGAAAGATCTGCCCTGGCCGGTTTGGCTCAGCGGTTAGAGCGTCGGCCTGCGGTCCTGAGAAAGAAAGATCTCTTATCCTTTGAAATGACATGGAGGAACCTGGAAAGTATTATCCTAAGCGAAACAAGCCAAGCAGAAAAAGACAATACCACATGATCTCACTTATTTGTGGAATATAATGAACATAACAGTCTGAGGAATAGGGAGACGTAGAAGTAGGTTATAGACTGACAACCCTCAGAAGAGGGGGTCTTGGGGGAGGGAAAAGATAAACCCCAGAACTTATGTGCATGTACACATAACTAATGGACACAGACAATAAAGCTGGAGACAGGGTGGGGGGTATGGGGAGGAGAGTGTCAATGGGGAAAAAAAGGAGAAACATCTGTAACAAAAATAATAATAAAAAAAAAAGTGTAAAGGGATTCTAAGGCCAAAAATTTGAGAAACACTAATATAAGTTATGCAAATTAAAGCAAAATTTCTATCAAATTTGCAAATGTAAAATAATAATAATAATATTATCTAATATCCATGGCTACAAAGATGTACAGAAGCTGTCATTCTCATACATGTCAAAAGCGTACACTGACAAAATTCTGAAGGAGAATTTGGCAACACATTATCAAAAACCTTTTTAAAAATGCTAAAGCTTGCCCTGGCCGATTTGGCTCAGCAGTTAGTGTCAGCCTGCGGTACAGAGAGACCCGGGTTCGGTTCCCGCTAAGGGCACGTACCTCGGTTGCAGTTTGTCCCTGGCCCTGGTTGGTCGGGCGGGTGGCAGCCACTCGATGTGTCCCTTTCACGTCGATGTTTCTCTCTCCCTCTCTTCCTCTCTCTCCCTCCCACTCTATCTGAACAAAAAATGGAAAAATGTCATCGGGTGAGGATGAAAAACTAAATACAAATAAAAAATAAATAAAATAAAATAAAAATGCTAAAGCTTGAAATCAGCAATTCTGCTTCTAGGACTCTAATTGAAGGAAAAAATTTAGAGAGATGACAGTAATTATTTTACTACAAGGCTATATAACTAACAATACTTTATAATGATATAAACTGGAAATGACTTAAATTAGAAAAGGTGTTCAAGTTCAGCTGTGACAAATTATGTTGTGTATGAAAAATGTATAATAATTGATAATATATTACCAAAAATTTTAAAACAGGTTACAAAACTGTATGTATAGCAGGAACCCAATTTTATATATCTGAAAAAATAAAGTAAGGCATTAACAAATAAGCATTAATAAGGTTTGGGCTATTTTAATCTATTATTTTTGTTTATATTTTCAAGTTTTGTTTTGTTTTTTTAAATGTATTTTAGAGAGAGGGGAAGAGAGAGAGATATAGAAACACGTATGTGAGAGAGAAACATCAATCAGCTGCCTCCTGCACGCCCCCTACTGGGGATTGAGCCCAAAAGCCGGGCATGTGTCCTGACTGGGAAGTGAACCTGGACCTCTCAGTCCATGAGACAACTCTCAATCCTCTCAAGCCAGGCTATTTGTTTTTTTAATTAACAAAAGTCATACATGGTTCAGTAATAGTTGAAACAATATAAAGCTATATAAGAAGAGTTATCATTCCCATCTACTTAAAAACACACTCTATCCAATTCCATCTTCTTGTGGTTGCCAATGTTAAGGTTCCAGAAGTGTGCATCCATTCACACTTTAACTATATTCATACCTAACAGGCAGACATCTATCCATATACTCAAAAAACAGATATATTGAGGTACCTTGTTTACTTACTTTATTTTTACAAAAATAAGATACTACAATGCCTCTTGATTTTTTTCTACTTGTTAATATATATCATGGTACAGCCAAGTAAAAGGCATAGATTTCATTCATTCTCTTTTTACAATAACTGCATAATTCTTCATAAAACCTGTACCATAATTTACTCAAGATTTCCCATTGGTTATAAAGATTGTTTACAGATTTTTTTTTTTAGGACCTTCTGGTGAAAACCAGAAGACCTACTAGACAAATTCAAAAAGAGCTGTAAGCACTATGTTTGCAGATTTTTAATATTGAGAGCAATGCTGCAATAAATATCTCTGAACACAGATCCTGACATTCTGATTATTTTTATAAGATAGAGTCCCCCTATGAGTTTGCTGGCTATATATATGCTTTGAATTAGCAAATACTGTCACATTACCCATCAGCAATGTATGCGATCCCATGTTCTCATCAACGCTGGACATAATTTTTGCAAACAAATCTGAGGATAATTCATTGTTATTTTAATTTACATTTCCCGCCTGCTTTGGGGATTCAGACTTTCATTTATTTATTGACTACTTATATTTTTTCTTCCTCTATTCCCATCCTTTCCCAATTTTTCTACTGCCGTCATGTCATGCAAATTTTTCCTCAGGTCAGAATCACAGCTCACACCATATTCAAGAATAAGTTCCAAATGAATTAAAGGTTTAAATGATTAAAAACAATCAAACTGTTCATATAAAATATCTTTATCAACTTGGGATCAGAGAGACTTTCTTAAGCAAGAACACTCAGAAGCAACAACAACAAAAAATAGACATTTGACTATATTAAAGTTTTATCTGTACTTTTTCACTTTTAAATCATGAACAAGTATTGCTTTGGGCATTTTTTTTAAGTTTTCCTTTTTAAACTGTTGCTAGAGCCCCACCAGTGTGACTCAGTGGATTGAGCACTGTCCCATGGACTGAGAAGTCCCAGTTCAATTCCTGGGCAGGTCACATGCCCAGGTTTTGGGCTCGGTTCCCACAGGGGGCGTGCAGAAGACAGTAGATTGACGTCTCTCTCTGACATTGATTTTTCTATCTCTCTCTCCCTTTCTCTCTAAAAAAATCAATAAAAACATATTTAAAAATTAAAAAAAAAAAAAACTGTTGATAGATCTTAAAAATGTTATCATTATTCCAAAGTCCCATGATAAGACATGTAGAAAACTTCATTGGACACACAGGTGCTGAGACCACAGAGGCATACAATCAAACATAACTGCCTTTGAATATTGCTGCTGCTACTACTATTATTACTACTGCTGCTGCTGCTGCTACTGGAAGCTATAACTGGAAATCTAAATTCCCAACTCCCATTTCTGTATCCTGTTCACCAAGTATTATCCTCTCCAGTAAGCAGCACATTTACTTTAAGGTGTCTACCTAAATTTACAGACTCTTCTATTGGGACACTCTGTCCAAGTGTTCTTCTACCCCATCACACATGTGGTAGTTATGAAAATAAAGCCTCGTGCAAAAGGGCACATGTTGTCGTATCATATATATGATATACATGGTACAATAGATAACTCACCTAAATGGGGAAACAGATCAGTATCCAACTGATGTTTTTGGGTGCACAGTTTCACCAGTCTCTGCAGTCGACTTATACAAGAGAAGTGTGGAGAGAAGGCTGTGGCTTTCATAAGGACCCGGTCAGTCCTGGGTGGGTCCACGACAGGAGCCCTACTGGATGGCAGGAGGGGCAGAGGCCTCTTGTGAGACAACTGCCTCGCTTGTGCTATAGTGTGTGTGGTGGGGGCCACTCCCTGCATTGGTAGGCTGGTGTTCTGAGGTTGAGGTGACTTGCAGACTAAACCCTGCGGTGGCGCTGGAGGTTTTATAGAAGTGGATAAAGGTGACAGGTTGGAGTGCTGCTGTGGAGGCTGCTGCTGTGAAGGTGCAGGAGGGGGACTAAAGTGCTCTTGTCGAACTTTTAAAATCTCTGTCTCTCTCTGGCGCTGACGATTCTGGGCCAACTTGCTCTGCAACTTCTTTCTCACAGTTGCACCTTTCTTTAGGTCATCATCTTCCTCGTTGAAAGCAAATGGGTCTTCCAACTCAGTTTCCAGGTAGTGGAGAGGGACCCTTGCCCCTGGTGGAGAGAGGGACATTCCATCCAGTCCGTTGGGCATCTTCAAGGCCAATGTGGGCACCGTTAGGCTAAAGGCCATGGTATCCATCTGGTGCCTGACCTTTACCTCATCTATAGGATCATTCTTTTTCTTCCTCTCTTTTTTCGGGATAAAGCCAAGTACCTGCAAGTGGCTGTTGCAGTACCTTGAAAAACATACACATACATGGGAAAGCATTCATGATACATATTAAGAAAAGTAAAATATAAGACTACATTTTATAAAATGTGAATCCTACTAATACATTAAAAATGCACGACTAGAGTAACTCTTGACATTCATGAATTGCATACACGCAATTTCTACTACTCTGAAGCAATCCCCTAAGTCTGTGAAATTTTCCTGAAGCAAATGTGTGAACTATACACATGCAGAGGCTGCCAGACAAGTCATTCAAATAGTGAGTGGCCCAGATATTGCTTCTCACACTGCTGTTATTCTGTATTCATACCAAACAATGTTAACTCATCAAGAGTCACTTAAAATTCTCTTATGGAGAAAAAATATGTATGTTCCAATGCCACACAGAGAATAGATTCATAAAGCTGTGACCAACAAGAGAAAGGGCTTCAGGGATTACTGTACTAAGAAGCTTCCCAATCAGAGTAAATGGTTTTCGTTGTTCTCAACTCACTTTCAAATTCACAAATGGATTAGTTTTCTTAGTGAAGAAAAGTGAGGCGGGGTATTTTTTTAAATTTAAGAATCAGTCTTTCCTGGTCATTTATGCGTGAGCAGCCTGAACTGGTAAATGAGGCTACTATGAGCCTCATCACATAATACAGCAGAGGCTGATCGCATGTACAGTCCTCCCCCAACCTCACTCTCCCCACTCCAGCCACTCGGCAGCGCTATCGCAGTAGTCTGAACTCTAAAACTCTGCCTCTGCCGAAAGAGGAAATTCTTCATAACTAGAATAAGGACAGCTTACCAGCATTTAAAATAAGTATGCAAATGTGAATTTCTAGTCTAAAAGAATTAGTATACAGGGGAGTAACTGCTGATGGGGTTCTTCTGGGGGGGAGAAAATGCTGTAAAATTAGACTGCGGTGATGGTTGCACAACCCTGGGAATATACTATAAATACTGAATTGTATACTGTAAATGGGTGAACTGTATGGGATGTGAATTATATCTTAATTAAATTGTTTTAGAAAATAAACATACAGATAACAAGAAATTTTCTTGACAAATATATACATACTAGTACAACTATACATAAAATTAAAGCAAACTTAAATTTAGAATATTATACACAATAACCAACTTAATATGACCACTTACCTCAGAGAAACCAAGGCTACAGTAATGAGCCTTAGCTCAGAAAATGAGCTTTACTTTATAATTATACCAGTACTTCTACTGAGCATAACACTATTCTATTTCAAAAAGCTGGACTCCCCTAAATTAGCATTTATAAGGCACACCAGACAAGTTAGACACCAGATATCAAGAAGCTTCCCCTAGCTGACCACTAATCAGATAATTTTGTCAATGAAAAGTCCTTGGAAACTGTTTTTTTCTGAAACAATACATAAACCATCTCAAATCCCTAAGTGGTCAAGGAGTAACTACATCAACAATAATGAAAGTATATTTTCAAAAGAATATTAATCTTTTCCACACTATGTCATGCAGTATAGCTACAACTGTATCTATTCACAGTTTAGTAAATATTATTACATGAATTCTACCTGCATTTCTTGAGGTAACATAAGAATATTACCTTCTGCTAAAGTCTACTTTAATCTATTTTCAAACAACCCTACAAATAAATAAATAAATACCATCTGCATCCATATGTTCTTGGACCAATTTTGAAAAATATATATATATATTAGAACTTAAGTATATCTTCTCTTGACATAGCAACACAAAAATCCTTACCCTTTATCTTGTTCTAAAAGAAGAAATTACTTAGACTATAAAGGTGAAGACATATGATTCACAGAATATTTTGGACAAATTCAGAGTGACTCACTTTACTTCTTGCTATAAGCTATAATACTTGCTTCAGCTGAAATGAAAAAGTATCCAAGATTGACAACTGCAACTATGATAAACTGAATTTAAGACTAAATTATAGAAATGTGCTTATTCTTGAAGTAGAAAAATAATCCAAGTTCTTCCATTCTTTAACTTTAAAAAGGGCAGGGTAAGAAATTATCAATTTCAATCTGCTAAAACCAAATGGACAGATATGTTTACCCCAATACAGTGGTCCCTTTCTCACCTGAGATTAAAATTTTATTCCTTGCCTCACTAAGCAGCTGTTTCTAACTTTCGGGTATTGTAATTTGAGGCCGTTAAGTGCTCATTAGAAATTCTAACAGAGTATTCCCAAATCACCACATTATACTATGCCCAATTTGGTGGGATCTCTATCAACACAAATTATTTATTTCACTCTAAAAGTGTAAAAATTGCTCACCATGACATACAAAATGCATATTTCTCTTCAAACAATTTATGCAGGTGACATTTGTTTATTATAGGAATAAAGATGACCTTTTTTACTTCTACACATTCTAAGAGGGACGTAAAAAGTTCAATTTTCTACCTAAAGATAACAAGTATTTGAAACTTTCTTGTACAGTAAGCATGCATCCCTCTGCAATACCCTGCAATGGTCGACATGGTTTCTGGAGAACGCAAGAAAGAGACTGTGTGTGAAATATAGTGTGAATTTTCCTACAAATATGAAAGATGAACAACCAATATGATACTTCTTTAAAACCACCTCCCTGTTTTATTTAATTCAGTAAAGCATAAATTCATAATTCTAGTGATAAAACCTATCCTTACTATGAAAATACAGTTTCTAATTTATAGTAAACATACTCTATATAGAACTCTCTTTAACCAAAAGAGGCAAGATTATTAAACAATGCCAAATACTGTTTAGAAGTCTGATAAAAAGTAAATCTGAGTGATTGAAGTATTCATTCTTTTGAGTAATTCTTTTTCAATAAGTACATACCCTTTGCTACCCTTTCAAGCACAGATTTTAAAATTCAAAAATTATTATCATGCTTACAATGCTTAAGTAATTCCTATAAATTTTCTCATTTAGGCAGATGACAAAACTAAGTATAGAAGTCAGAAACACTTTATAAGTCTGAAAACTAAACACATCACTACCAAGACTTTAAGCAACAACTTTAAAGGGGAAATTTAAAAAAAAAAATAACCCAAAAAGTCTATTAAATCAATATAAAAACACTCAAAAATACTTTTCAAATGCTTCTCCAAATTTACTACTCTATTTTTTAAAAACTGCCACCTCTCATCTTTAGAATCATTTCAAAGTTTACTTACAATACTCCCAGAAAGCATCATTTACATTCACCGTATCAAAAGAAAAAAGAAAATTTCCCAACCTAAACATTAAATCAAAGATTGAGTCCCATTATTAGCTCTTACCTACGATCCTCTGATTTGGGGATGGGGTTGGTGCAGCGTTGGCTGTTATACTTGGCCACATATTCACATTGCTTGAAGGGGGCAGTCTTGTCCTCCAGAACGTGTCTGATACAGAAAGCGTAGCCGTTGAGTCGCCGCTGCTTGCACAGTTTGGGGCTATATGAGCACAAGGGCTTATTGTCAACCTCAGAGAAGTGTATATGTTTCCCTTCATACATCACGTGACTCTATTCCTTGTGAACATCAGCTAAAAGACCACCACAAAAAAAGAAACCCAAATGATAAATCAGAGAGTATAAGGCAGATTTAAGTTGAGAATTTCACTGAGGGACTTCTGGCCCCACAGCCATACCTGATTTTAAATCTTCTGCACCATAGCAATGTTAAGAGAACCCCAAGGATACCACACTTTGGAATGCTGCAGAATCAAGATGAAGCAGATTGTCTACAAAAATATCAAAAGGCCTAGTTAACAAATTGAAATAAGCAAAGTCTGCTCACCTCAGAAGTAAAATAATAGGACTTCACCCTTCTAATGGGATGATTCTTCATTGTAATCCAACATCTCAATATTGAATACAAATAAGAAGCATAAAATATTAAGTTACCTTACCCCTCCAAATTGAACTAAATACCTTCTCCTCTGGTTAAGTTTTGGAACCATCTCAAAACAGTCAGGGGTCTTCCACCAAACAAATGTCATAAGGGTCTTTCATTTCATTACTGGTGCTTAAAGGCTATACCTAGTTTCAGAACCCAAATTTCTTTACAATGCCAGTAGACCTCAAACTTCCCTCAGAAAGTCTACATTTTTTTTTTATGTTGACAAATATTTGGCAATTTGTAACAAATGTTTGTGTGAAATACAAAAAAAAGAACAAATTTCTATTTGTAAAAGTCACTTTCCCTTTAATCTTCCCCCTCACTTATCCCATCCAAATTATAAACTTTTTGAGCCCAAACACTAGTCACCTGACTACACAGTTCCACCACTCAGTTCAGTGCTTGGTACTACCTGGCACTCCCAATGACACTAAATAGAATAATAATCATGGTTTATGAGTCTTTGGGGTTTAGTAAGAAAATGGAAGACAGAAATGATACAATATTCACTACCTCTCTAAAGACAAAAGTTCCAGCAGTAGTACTTATGCATAATAACATCACACAGTCTACAATGAAATTGAATCAACTAAATTGTCAAGTCAGGATTATAGTGGGTTGATGTGGTCTAACACACTTTCTCCACACTCCAAAAGTCACGCACATGGCTGATGAAACAGCTTAGATACCAGCTACAGAAAAACTCAAGAAATACTCTCTCCTTTACTAAACTCAATAGGAAATTCTTTGTACCAGTGAATGACAAGATACATAAATGCTTGTGGAGTCATCAGATACATTTGTTCAAGTCCAGAATCTGGACTTATTTTGTTACCTTGAACAAGTCATTTAACCTCAGTTTTCTCATCTGTAAAATAGGGATAAAAACAGTAGCTATGTTATTATTAGGCTGCTCCAAGGATCAAATGATAACAGAGCATGCAGCACACTGAGTACTGTGCCTCATACATGTTAAACAATGAACAAATGAAAATTATCCATAAGTGTTAATTCTTATTACTACTATACTCTACCTGCAAATGACAAAAGTAGAGACTCTGTATTACCTTTAAGAAGTATTTCACTTACTCTGGTAGGAAAAAAAAACCTGAACTACTAGCTTGGTTAATAAAAATCATATTCATTACTGAGTAAACCAAATAATATACCAACATAAAACAAAAATAACAGCTTTCCCTTTTCACTTTATTAGGGTGCAAGGAAGAAAAGCTGGATTCAACATTTGAATTTAGTTGCCCCGAATGTCTGGATGTTCAGGACAGGATAGATTTCTAAGAAAACACATGCTGTTTCATTTTTACACTCTGGCCTGCTCACCCACCTGGCAAACATAAATCCTTCATAGATTAAGTAAATCTACAATAACTTCAGAAAAAAATACATTGGATATAAGAGAAAAAAAAGTAATTTACAGAATCAATTTCATTGCCATTATGAAGCCGGCAGCCTATATATCTATATGTATGATAATATTTTGTAAATCACAGAAAGACATCTGAGGGCAGACATGGAGGGATATGAAGAGCAATGTTTACCCTTTAACTGACATATTCCAGGTATGCAATTGTATCTGTCAATTGATTTTCCCTTTCTTTTCAAGTTTTACACATTTTTTTCTTATTGAATTGGCCACAACTACAGGTACAATGCTAGTAATAATGGCAACCACTGTTACTCCTAACTTTAAATGAGACTGTTTTGAGTCAGTGGTAGGAATAACACTGACTTTTTTTAAAAAAATTTATTTTTAGAGAAGAAAGGAGAGAAGGAGTGGGGTGGGAGGTGATATTGATGTGGGAGCAAAACATCAATGGGCTGCCTCCTGCACACGCTATCCTACCAATGATCGACCCCACAATCGGGGCATGTACCCAGACCAGGAATTGAACACAAACACAGCAACCTTTCAGTACACAGGATGACATCCAACCAACTGAGCCACACCAGCCAAGGCAATAATGCTGACTTGTAACATGATGTATTTCCTATTATGTTAAGGAAGTATCGAGTTCTATTTCATTAAGAGTTGTTTTTTAAAAAAAGAACTCAAAATTAATGGTTAGCCCAGCAGGTGTGGCTTAGTGACTGAGCGTCAACCCATGCACCAAGAGGTCACCGGTTCAATTCCCGGTCAGGGCACATGCCCAGGTTGTGGGCCAAATCCCCAGTTAGGGGCATGCAGGAGGCGGCCAATCAATGTTCTCTCTCATCAATGTTTCTATCTCTCTCTCCCCCTCCCTTCCTTACTAAAAATCAGTAAAAGAAAAAATAATTAATGGTTAATTTTACCAAATTCTTTTTCAGCTCCTGGAGAGATGATCACTTTTCTCTTTCATACTTTTTAATGGTGTATTTCCTGATACTAAACTTATAATCCTAGGATGATAGCTACATGGTCATTATGTATTATTGCTGCTGAATTAAAGTTGCTAATATTATTTTTAATCCTCACTTGAGGGTGTGTGTGTATATATATATATATATGTGTGTGTGTGTATATATATATTTTACATTTATCTTCAGACAGAGTGGGAGGGAGGGAGAGAGACAGAGAGAGAAACATCGATGTAAGAGAGACACATCAATTGATTGCCACCCACACGACCCCAACCAGGGCCAGGGATGAACCGCAACCAAGGTACGTGCCCTCGGCCAGAATCAAACCTGGGACTCTGGTCTGCAGGCCGACATTCTAACCACTAAGCCAAACCAGCCAGGGCTATACTTGCTAATATTTAAGATTGTTGTATTATTAGAATGGTCTAGTTTTCTGTTTGTGTGCTTTGCAAGAATTTGGTATCAATGTAATATTTCAAAATATAATTTGGAAAATCACTCTCTTTTTCTGTGTTCTTGAGCAAGTTAAAAAGCACTGAAGTTCTCATGTTCCTTAGAAGGTTGCCTGGGCTTAGTAGTGCTTTTTGGTAGTGAATCAGGTTTTCACATTTATCTGCATACAATTTAGCAATGTGACCTCTTACATTTAATTTCCTAAATATATGTGATTTATTTTCATATTCTGTGTATTCACATATGTGATACTTGTGCTTTCTCCCTTTGCTCATGACAGGTTCAATAGGGTTTATCTGTTTCACATTTTTACCAATAGCCTCTAAAAAAAACCCAACCAAGATCTTTTAGCGTTTTTAGTATCTCCATGTATATTTTCTAATTAATAAATTTCTGCTTTTATTTTGTTTGTTTTTTTAAGTTTTAGAGAGAGAGGAAGGGAGAGGGAGAGAGAAAGAAACATCGATGTGAGTATGAAACACTGATTGGCTGCTTCCTGCATACCCCCCACCAGGAGATAGAGCTGGAAACCTGAGCATGTGCCCTGACCAGGAATCAAATCTGCAACTGGCAACCTTTCTGTGCATGGGACGATACCCAACCAATGGAGCCACACTGGCCAGGGCTAATTATACTTTTCTGCTTTTTTTCCATTTATTATTTTTTGTAACTTCTTGGGCTGAATTACTCTATTTTCATTTTTTCTTGCTTAGTAATATATGAATCTTCCTGAATACTGCTTTAGCCATATCTCAAAGGTACTAGTACACAGAATTTTGATTATCAGTACTTTCTAGTTGATTTGGATTTGATATTTTAATTTCTCCTTTGACCCAAGAATTTAATTTTTTCAGATGGTAAAGTTTTATGTTTTCCTTGTTGTAGTTCTAATTAAGACTAAAAAGCATATCTGCATATATTTCTGCTTTTTGGATTTGACCATTTTCTTTGGGGCCTAACAGGGATTCTTGAGAAAGCACATTCATTGTTTCTAGGGTATGTTGTCTGTTATAGCATATATCATGGTATTAATGTCCACTGTTATTACTTATTCTGTCTGCTTGCTCTTTGGGGAGCTGAAGGAGGTAAGTCAAAATCCCCCACTATAATCTGATTTGTCTGTTTCTCCTTATATTTTTTGTTTTATAAATTTTAAAGCCATGTCATATATGAGATTCATAACCACTAGATTATCACTCTTCATAATTAGGAAAAGTAACTCAAGTGATGATTTTTGTCTTGAATTCAGCAGTATCTGACACAAACACTTGGACTCTCATTTTTTGGTCTGAATTTGCCAATTCTTTGCCTATCCTTTTACCATCAAGTTTTCTGAGGCACTTTAAATCATGGGTCAGAAAACTGGCTGACAGGACAAATTTGGCCCACTGACTATTTTGGTAAATAAAGTTTTATTGGAACACTATCCTGTTAATCCATTTACATGTTGTCTATGGCTGCTTTCATGCTGTCACAGTAGAGCTGAATAGTTGCAACAGAGATTATATGACTGCAAAGCCTGAAATATTTACTAAAATATTATCTGCGAGTTACATTTTAGATGGCACCTCTTAATTAGTTTGACTTTTTTGCTCTGTTATTTTCTTTTAATAAATGGGTTCATCCGACTTACAATTTTATATTTACTTATATGGCAAATATTTCATCTTAATTTTATATTATTTCTTTACATTGCTTTTAGCTTTAAATTCTTATCTTTTTATTACATATTTTATTATATAGTCTCGTTTTCTTGAATGATTTAATCTGATTTTTAGATAACATTTCTTTATTGCACACTATGAAAATTAGTATACTTAGCATTAGTCATGATTGACTCATGTTGTGAATGAGAAAAATTTCCATTTTTTTAAACTATCCGTCCCACAGTATTTTTTCCTTGTTATTATTTCTACATTGCCATAGTTTATAACATTTTAATGTTGGTTCTATATTTAAATTTATTCAGTGCTAACCATTAATCCTTTTAATTTAGTTTTCAATTCACCTCTGATTCAATTTTTTATAACACAGTCACCTCTCTTCTCTATCCACTCTTCCCCCTACCCCTGAGACCCAAGGCTGACTTATGGAATCTAAGCCATGGTTTTCTGTTTAGAAATATATGTCAATTGATAATATAAACTATAGCCTGCCTGGACATAAAATTCTTGGTTCATATATATTTTTGTCTACTAAATCTGTATATATTTTTTCCCATATCTTCTAGAATGAAAAAGCCTGAGGCTAGCCTCTTTATTTTATGAGGCTTTTTTTTTTATTTTTTTTGGTATGTGCCCCTAGCGGGAACCGAACCTGGGACTCTCTGTTCTACAGGCCAACACTCCAGCTGCTGAGCCAAACTGGCCAGGGCTATGAGGCTTTTTTTTCCATTTTGACCTAACAATGTCTTTTTTTTAAGGACTAGAAACTACTTCAGAATTTCAAGTCTTCTGTCATTGTGGGAAACTTAATGTCTTGAAAAATTTTTTCTGCTTCATGATTATATTGTCTTCTTCAGAGGTATCAATTATTGGTAAGCTAGATTTACTATATTCTCGCTCTCATCTTTTTAATTTTTACTTTTCCATTTTGAATTGCTCAAACTTCTCAAGCTTACCTCCAATAAACCCAGCTATAGTGTATATCTGCTGCTTTTAAAGTGACCTTCATTTCTATTAAGACTACATTTTTCTCCTTTATTTTGTACCAGGTTCCACCAGCTCACTCTTATCTCTTTCTGTTGTCTTATTTATACACTCTTCCCTTGAGGGAATGCTGGACAAGTCTCTCCAATTCACAGGGGCCCATATAAAACTGATTTTAGGGAATGATAATGTAGGCTTTATTTCTCTTCAGGTGACTAAGATCGGCAGCTATAAGGCTGTTTACTGCCAGTTTGCCCTCCACTCTAAAATTCCTGCAAAAATAGCATGACTGTATAGTTTGTCATTCAACCCCACCTCTCTTGCCACTCAGGGAGCCCAATGTATACACTAACTTTGTCATTCCAAGTATGAAGTTCCTGGTTTTGTCCACATAGTGGGTCACCTACCT